AAAATTCAAACTAGTATAATTTTATGAACTTATTGAAAGGCTGGAACTTATTTGTTATTTATTTATAATTCATTCCTGTAGTGACTTGGAACTTATTACTACATTCACTGGCACCAAGTCAGAAGAAGGCTTCTTCCTGAATGCTGTTCTGGTTGAACTTGAGTTTGGTAAAGGAGGCGCAGTTGTAAGTAGAATAAGGAAAGAAGGAGAGAGTGAACGAATGTAGTAGGTAGGATATGGGAGGAAGATGGGGAAGCATGAGAGAAGAATGAGAAAAATAAACAAATAATATGATAAATAAAGAAAAAAAAGCTAGAAGAAATTACAAATTACTTTTGTTTCTTCAAAGGTATTAATAATAATGAGTAAGACAGGGGYGGCGGAACCGGGRGGCACTCGCCCCCCCACAAGATTTTTTTGGGGAGCCTCATAGTTTTAAGACGCATGCGTCTGCAATCAAACAAAACAGTGGTCATTACACAGGGTTCGTGCTACTCCTTAAACTCCTTGAAAACTCCTTGAATTTAATTCCCGTTTTCAAGGACACTTGAAAAGCTCTTGAATTTTATGATTTTAGCRAAATTCCTTGAAAACCACGGTGTAAAACCTTGGCATAGTTAGCTGAACATACTCCTTGAAAATTTATTTTTGGGTCCTTGTATACTCCTTGAATAGCTAGCTAGTCCTTGAATTTTGGTTACCTCAGCATGAACCCTGATCACATAGAATTAAGTATAATATTTCAGTGCCCCCAGTGCTTGCCTTTCACCCATGCTACCTGGGTTTGATTTCCAGACTGTGTGTTGGTTCTCTTCTGTGCTTCAAGGATTTTCCCTAGATTGTCTTGTTTTTCTTCGGGTAATCCACAACGGGCAGAACGAAGCCTGGGAGTGGATGAACAAACAATGAATTGTGAGATAAAACAAAGAACGCAGTTCACATGTAGAACAATACACATTGTTCACCATAATCCATGCTTTCTTTGTTTTTTTTATTTTGTCCAATCCCAAGCTTCATTCTACCAGTGGACACCGACCCTTTTCTTCTGCAAATATTAACTTCTAAATTCCAATTCAATGGTGTCTTATGACCCATAAAAATCATTTCGATTTGGCTCGTTTGATTCAACTTTGAGGGGCACTTTGCAGAAATACAACCCCTGTGCTTCACTGCACATGAAAACTCTAATTGTGATTATGCAAAGTGCCCATCAAAGTTGAATCAAATGATCATGAGCCAAGGATGTGTAAGAATTAACCAGTTTATGGAATGTCACAGCCACAGCTACAGAATAATAATTTATGAAAAGCGCTGTAAGTGCTACCCTTTGTTAAAAAAATATTATTTTTTATTGATCACTAATTTTTTTAAATTGATTTACTTTTTAGTGTCTGGTGACGGGGCAGCAGGTATGCATTATTTTATCAAAGGGATGAATGTAAGATTTAAATAAAATTTTATATTGAATGTCTAGTATTTATTTATGGGCTTCTCAACAAAATAAGAAAAGAGGAAAATTAATGATTTTGATCCACTTTACAGTATGTGCCCCTGATCGTGAGGTAGGCTGTGTGTGTGTATAATGTTAATAGGGAATTGAATGCAGATTGATATAGTTTCATGGCTTCATGTGTCTGATTCTTTTCAGGCTATTCTCAATGCTGATATTGATACTCTTATCAATTCATTGATTACCCTGCAAAATATTATCCACAACATGATAAGTGCCTTCATTAAAATCCATGGTGAGCATAACCACTCAAACAGACAGTCAGTTAAACAGACAGATAACCAGACAGACAGAAAGAGAGACAGACCACCAGATAGACTGACAGACAGAAAGACAAGCAAGCAGACAGACAGACAGACAGTCAGTCAGTCACAGTAAAAGGGTACTGACAGTTTTTCAACTTCCAGGTCCAGGTACAAGAAACAATTGAAACAGACAGACAGACAGACAAACAGACAGACAGACAAACAGACAGACAGACAAACAGACAGACAGGCAAGCAGACAGACAGACAGACAGTCAGCCACAGTAAAATGGTACTTACAGTTTGTCAGCGTTCCAGGTACAAGAAGCAACTGAGACAGACAGGCAGACAGAGAGACAGACAGACAGTCAGCCACAGTAAAATGGCACTTACAGTTTGTCAGCGTTCCAGGTACAAGAAGCAACTGAGTCAGACAGGCAGACAGACAGGCAATCAGACAGGCAATCAGACAGGCAGACAAACAGACAGTAGATGAGATGGGGTGATAAACTAATTTATTGTACTTGATTGATAATGACTATTGATAAGTATTGATAACTGATAACGATACTTTTTCAGATGTAACTGATGCAGAAGAATTTTACGATTTATTAAGGCCTTTTATGAATGGGTTAGTATTATCTGCATGGTGTATGTTGTGAAAATATAGCAAGGGCTGATCCAGGGAGGTGAATTGGCTGACTAGTGACACCACAGGAAGCTGAGTTCTCCCYTTACTACTAAGAAGAAGGAAAGGAAGGAGACCTCCGTTAGGCCAACGGACCGAGTCGCTCTTGAAAATCCATCGATTCGCAGACGAAAACGCATCCCCTTGCTTCGATACTCCACAACACGAAAGCCAGATAGTTGCCCTTCATGTTAATCCAAAAATATCACATTAAAATGATCCCCTCAAGGAATAAATCCAGCGAGATGTCCAAAATTAACAGTTTGACCGTTTTGACCCACGGCAGTCAAACTTTGTACAGCTCGGCGACCGTTCTTAGTAGTGAGGGGAGAACTCAGCTAAAATCCACCAAATCATCCTGAAATCGCTACCAGACATTAATAAAAACACAAGGAACACCACATGAAGGTTTAGATTTTTTTTTCTTTATTTTTCACAGAGTTATAAGCTAAAAAGTAATTTCCCATACATTGCCTTATAAATCGTCCTGTTATATGAGATTGAGCTTCCTGTAGTGACACCCCCCTTTGGAGTTGAAAAATAATGAGAATGAAGGGTAACGTAAAGACCTAAAAAGGACCCTATGTTATGCCTTTGCAATCAATGCCCTCGAAATGGTCTGGATCTGTCACTTTAAAGATGAATAATGGAATACTTTCACATAATATAAATCCTGGGCAGAGCAATTTTCAAAGGAGTTGTGTGTTGCATGTGACCCCCCTCACCCCCTCCCAACCTTGTAGTTTCTTGTAACTTGCATCCATGGTGGGGGGTTTTTTTAGGGGGGGGGGGTGGAGTAGGAGGCAGTGGCACCCTTCTCATTGAAGAGGCATTGGCATGAGAGCAAGCTCTTCCACCRCTACTTTCCCCATGGACAGATTTAGGGGGAGATAAGGTAACATCCCTCTTTTAGCTTGGGATGCATCTTTACCTTTCTTATGTAAGAGTTGCATACCGAGAATTGAGGCTATGAGTCGTACATGGTTACCTTTCAAGATGACACAGGTTACTATGAAGGGGACCAATTAATTTTTTGATATTTTTTGATAYTTAGATGGAATGAAGGTTCTGTTCTAGAAGATGGGTTGGTGTATGAAGGAGTTTCCACCAAACCGATGAAGGTTAGTTAGTGTTCAATATTTGTAGTGTACTATTTTCACCTTTCAGACCTCCTGGCRCCTGGGGGTGAGGGACTATGTACTTATTGACTGAGTGGGAGGGCCGTACGGGAAAATATTTGGCTCGAGGTCATGTCGTACGGACCGAGCGCAGCGAGGTCCGTACAAATGACCGAGAGCCAAATATTTTCCCGTACAGCCTGACCTAACTCAGTCAATAAGCATTTTATCATATGACTCTCACGAAAATAAAAATAAATAAGAAAAAGAAAGCGCGCGGATTCGAGCAGGGCCGGACGGGTTTTTCCGGCCCGCTTACGTCAACCCGTCCGGCCCCCATCACGTGACTTTTTCCAATGGTTTTATTAGAGCGCGCGAGCAGGGCCGTAYGGGTCATATGATAAAAGTCATTYATCATTTAGGAGAGTGGCAGCTACTTAGAGATCCCCCTCTTAACACCTATCAAACTTTAACCAATCCCCCCCTGCATAGTTGTAGGATGTAGCTCAATCTGGAGGAAAAAACAATAGGTTCCAATTCTCATGAGATTGGAAATTAATCTTTTGTTTTGTCCTCCAGATCGAGCTGCTTTGACGTCACATGCAAGGGGTCTATCCCCATAAATCTTCCTTCCCCTTGACCCCCTCCCCCCCAAATATTTAATGATGACATTAAAAAACTGGTACCCTTTACTCACAAGTTAGTGTCAATACACCTTATTTGTGGTGTGACAATGTTTTCCCAGTTCAGCATGACAAACCTCCAAAGGATTCATTTTCTTATGTTTTTAYATTCTTCAAAAAATACATTTGTATAGATGATATCTCAACGAGTTTCAAAATAGCTGTTCATTCTCTTAGAGGTTTGTCACATCCAATATTGGGAAAAAAGGTCGGGAAAACATTGTCACACTACCAATAAGGTCTATAGTAGATAAAAAACAGCAAGTCAAGAGCATGGCACATTGGCTTAAAAAGGTAGCATTGCATCAAAAGTAAAAAAGTCAATTCATCACGTCAGATGCAACAAGCAGAAAAAGACGTGCCTCCCTTTATTTTACCATAAACCACAGGAAGCCCAAGTACATAGAGTTGCTGCAGGGGTGGATCCAGGGGTGGTGAGGTTCTTAGTATTATTCATAGTAAGCCACCCTTTTTTTCCTCACATTTTCCTGGTAAAACCTTTGTTATAGTCAAAACATTCCTGGATCTTCCACTTGGCTGATTAAACTAAATATCAGCTCAACTTGTTTTTAGTATTTTGGAGGAAGTGCTGCTCAATCTTCAGTGTTCCAAGCAATTGATGGATTTCTTGAGATTCCACACCAAACTAACACAGGTTAGTTATAGTGCAGTTTTCGTATGACTGTGAAAAGTTCACGGCAYGAACACGGTCGTGACACAGCAAGAGATACGCCAGACCAATGACATTGCATGACAATTTACTCTCCATCCAATCAAATACCCGGGACACGGCATAAACACGGCGCGGACACGGTCACGCCAAGATCACAGCACTTTTAGACCAATCATATTGCGCGTGAAAAAATCAGCCTATTAAAATTCTATAAAGTAYCACGGTGTCATGGCACGTCACGCTTACGGCACTGAGCTTTTCACAGTCATATGAAAACTGCACTAAGGATTTCCTGTTTCTTATTGTGTCATAGCCAGTAAATTAGCACTTCACTTACAGAAATCAAATTTTCTTCAGGAGATGAACATTTCCTCACAAAAATGAGAATGTACATGCCGCCTAAACACAGAGCATTCATTGAGGCAATTGAGAGCGGACCTTCACTCAAAGACTTTGGTATGTTATTAACACAGGAAGCCTAGATGGAATGAAATTAATAAATATATAGTGAGACTTTATAGACTGTTTAATAAAGTAGCAGTAGTGTTTTATTGAGTCTAAAAGCAATATGTTAAGCCAAGTGGTTTTAGACCCGTTAAAACATGATCTGCGAGTTTATTGAACTGCTTCAATAACTTAGGAATGATTCATAAGCACTTGGTTATACTTCAATAGAGGTTTGTACATAAATGTCAGGCGTAGTGGGGTTTGTATGTCACTGCCATACACAGTGAGTCCAAAAAAGGCTCCATGACACTGACAAGTTTTTGAACAGTCTTGAACTGACTTTATCAAGGGATAGAACAGAAAACAGAGCCTTATTAGGTAAAAGAACAAGGCAACCCAATTAAGGAAGGGATTAACTGTAGATAGAATCTTCAGGGAAGCACGGGTTGCATCGTGGTGAATGCTCACCTTCATCAATGTGACCCTGGTTTGAGTCCCACTGGGCTCGGTATCATATGCGAGTACAGTTTCTAGTTGGTTCTCTCCTGTGCTTTTAGGTTTTTTCTCAAGGTTCTCTCACTGGTTTTCCTCCCTCCAAAATTCGACGTTTAAATTCCATTTCAATCATGAAACGAGGGCCACGGGTTTGTTAGCCACTGGCTAACAACTAAGTGATACCCTTGTCAAAAGCAAAGTCTTTTTTGAGGGGTGGGGGGCTAGTCACTCCCATGATACCTTTAAGCTACCCTTATATTAATGATGCTGATACTGATGATGATGATGATGATAGAGCCAATCTATTTTGAGATTTGAGATTGTAATATCTATTTTCTCTTTCTTTGATGTTGCAGTTTTGAAAAAGAAGAATAGTCTGTTGACCGAGAAGTATAACAGCTGCATTGATGCAATGAAAAAATATCGCAGCCTTCACTTGAATGTTGTTACAAAGTAAGTTGGATGGTGCGAGTGTCATGGTCGGTATGTGGGTTAGCATGGGTAACATGGTTGGTATAGGCGGTATGGGTATCATGGTTGGTATGGGTAGCATGGGTGGTATGGGTAACATGGTTGGTATGGGTAGCATGGTTGGTATGGGTAGCATGGGTGATATGGGTAACATGGTGGTATGTAGGTGGTATGGGTATCATGGTTGGTATGGGTAGTATGGGTGGTATGGGTAACATGGTTGGTATAGGTGGTATGGGTAGCATGGTGGTATTATAGCACGGTTGGTAGACTTGTAATCATTTCTCTCCAGGTACATAATAATTCAAGCAAACAAGAACCCAAAGAATGTGAACATAAAATTATCTAATACTGGTACCGGAGGCTCAGGTGAGATTTCTTTTCTTATTCGTTTTCTGCCAGTATTTCTTGTGGTATTTATGATGATGATGATTATCACTAATGATGATGATGGTGATATCTGATAATGATTATCACTAATGATGATGATGGTGATATGTGATGATGATCACTCATGATTATGACAATGACTGATAATTATGATCATAAATGATGACTGATGATGATGACTGATGATGATGGCTGATGATGACTGATGATGACTGATGATGACTGATGCTGATGATGGCTGATGACGATGACTGATGACGATGACTGATGATGATGACTGATGACGATGACTGATGACGATGACTGATGACGATGACGATGACTGATGACGATGACTGATGATGNGATGACTGATGATGATGACTGATGATGATGACTGATGACGATGACTGATGATGACTGATGATGATGATGATTGATAATAAGTCTATTGACGACCATCTTAATCACTGATGATGATGCTACAATAGTGTCAGCCCAATGACTGAGAGCTTGAAGGGTCTGAGTACGAGGTTGTGATAATAATACAATTGTATTTTGATGTTTTCAAGATCTTTTACCATTTTTGAAAAAAATCCGCAATGAGACTGAAGAACAAAGGATCAAATGACTTCTAAACACAACACAACAATGAAGACTCAAATATGTTGCTAAATCAAACGAAAAGATGGGTTAAAATAAGGAAAGAAGGGTTTTTWAAATTTAAAAATAATGTCATATATTTCATGTATAATTTATACTGAATTTCTTAAGAATTTAATATAAAATATAGCAAGAATTGTAAAATAAAATGAAAGAGTCATTCACAATAATTTTATATTGCTTCGACTCCATATCCTAATGCAAAACTGTAATGGGAGTGTTATAACTTTGCACATAAAAAAGGCAAATAAACAAGAATTAAAACATAATAAATAAATACCAACAAGTAATACATAGGATGTCACAATTTTTATTGATAAATACCTTCTCTCTTCACTAGAGTTCAAACAATATATCCGTCAAATATTAATACTAACTTACGCTACTTTATGCTAATTCTATTGTTTTCTTTTGTTTAACTAAGGACTTTAAGATTTGCAAAATCTACGACGGCGACGTCAACCGGAAGTGTAAATAATTTCTCTCTGGGGTTCTGTTCATTGGAGATTTCATTCAATACATTGTCAGTAAAGTCAACTCATCCACAGGGAATACAGACTTTGAATACGCGAAACCCCAAAAGTGAAGTTTTTTACATTTCCGGTAGACATCGCCGTTGCAGATTTTGCAAATCTTAAAGTCCTTACTAGCACCTTTTTGAACAATTTAGTAATTAGTGTTTCACGGATATATTGTTTSCACTCTAGTAAGTTGTTAATAAAATAGCTTATAGTCTACGTGGTTGTTTCCATGACGTCATCACAATAGATCTTTTCATGATGCATTGTGGTCATGACGTCATCACAATAGGTCTTTTCGTGATGCATTGTGGTCTAGCTTCAGTACAAATAACACCATATATGGAGTGACAACGAAACATGTTTGTACTGAAGCTAGACCATAATGCACCATTTTGCGGAAACTAGGAAAAGGTCTATGCATTCTGGGATGCCACGCCCAGTCTTTCACGATGAAGCCATCAAGTGGCATAAGCTATCATAACGACATTATCACCACGTACAAATAACTGATTCACATGTCTTCGTTTGAATTCCAAGTATTTCCCCATACCAACCTCGATTCGGCGGACAGTGCAAATTTCCTTTCTACCCTCCCCTCCCATATCTTTCTTTGACAACCTGTCATTTTCGGTCGAGCCACTTGTAGTTTTTACTCCCACTTCAGAGTCGCTCTTAACTTTCTTTCTTGTATCTTTGAATTGTTCAAGCACGTTCAAGGATTTAGAACTGCTTTTCTCAATTATTTCTGTCCTTTTTTGTCGCTTCACTTCTCCTACGGTCCTATTTTCCATTGAAAGTTTTCTCTTTTTACTATTTCCTAAGGATTTCTGAACATTCTTTTCATTTTTCTTCATTTTAATCGACTCATTTGAGATGTTACGTGTGCCATGGATGTTTCTTCTATGCTTTTCATGTCCTGTCATTTTCCTGGTTGTTCTTGTCTTCATCTCGAGAACGGGAGTTGGTAACAGACCAACCTTGACTTGTTTGATGTCCATCTCTTTTGCTTTCGTATTTTCATTGGATTTCATATTCTCGGCCAACCTTTCCCCAGTGCTTAGTCCTTTTTTGATAGTCTCCCATTCACTGGTTTCCAGTCTGTTCATTGCAATCTGTTTCATCACTTCCGCTCCTCTTCTTGACTCCTCTTTTCGTAATCCTTGAACCACTTCACCGGAGGACTTTTTAGACTGGGTTTCCTGTGTCTCATCCACTTTGGTATCTTTGTGCCTCCTTTTATCGGACAATTGATCTTTTTTACAGTGTTCTCTTGGTTGGGCTCCCTGTTGTTTTGACTTTACAGGCTTGTGCTCGCTTCGTTCAGACACTTCCTTGGGCTGCCTGTGTTTTTTCTGTTCAGTTAAACAAACTCCCTTTTCTGGTTTTGAAATCTCAATGATTTTCTCTCCTTTAGATATTTCTTTTGCCTTATTATGATTGGATGACACTTCTTTCAAGACCAATTGTTTAGCATCAGAAGATCGTCTTTGTTTAAGTTGGTCACCCTGTGGTTCTGATTTTCTTGTCGATGTTGCTGCTTTCTTTTCTTTTCTATCGCCACTCTCTCTCCTTGCTTGAACTTCATGATGTGTGCTATTTTTAGACCTCCTTTCACTGTCACGGTCACCCTGTGGTTGGACAGTCCTTTCTTCTTTCTTTGCCTCAGTTTTTATCGCACTACGTCCCTTAACCTCATCAGTATTCTTCTCTTTGTTTCTCCTTGCATATTTTTCGCCATCACTCGAGCCTCCCATCTGTTTCGCTTCATTCTTTTTCATTTCAGTGCTTGATGAACTTGGTCGTTTTTCGCTTTCTCCACTACGTTTCTCTTTGTCCTTCTTCAAGCGTTGTGCCGTTGCCTCATTCCTTGCCGCAACCCGCGATGGCCGCCTACCTTCCTTTTCTTCACAACCACTCGACCTCCTTTCACTTGTCTTCCCATCCATCTTTCCTTTCTTCTCTTTCCTTGATTGCTTATCATTACCGTTAGCACCACGAGAAGGCACCTCTGCTTCATCCTTCACCACACGAATATCAACCCTTTGTTCTCTTTTCTTCCTTTCGTCTGTCCTTTCTTTGTCCATCCTTGATTGTAAATCACTGCTAACAGAATTACGCTCCCCAGAACCAGTACCTCGTCGTTCTCTCCTTTTCATCCCAGCAACCTCGTCCTTTCTCTTCTCTTTTTCGCTGCCAACTGATCCTCCGCGCTCTTCTTTTTTCATATCTCTCTTCTCTTTTCCTTCTGTCTTCCAACCACCTTCCTCTTTCCGTTTATTATCCGCTCCAGACGTACTTCGCCTTTGATCTTTGGTTTTCTTCTCGTCATCTTTGGTTTTCTTCTCGTCATCTTTGCTTTTCTTCTCGTCATCTTTGCTTTTCTTCTCGTTACGCTCTTCTCTTTTCACATCTCTTTTCTCTTTCTTTTCTTTGTTCCTTCCGCCTTCCTCTTTCCGTTTATTATCCGCTCCCGACGTACTTCGCCTTTGATCTTTGCTTTTCTTCTCGTCATTTTTATTGCTTTGCAGCTCCTGCTTCTTTTCATCTCCCCTTTTCTTTTCGTAGCTTTTTCCACCACCTCTTCTTGCTGTCTCCTCCTTCCTAGCCCGACCTTTAATACCCAGTCGATCCCACACGGATAACTTCTTCGGCTGATCGTCGTTGGTTTCACCATGCCTGTGTTGGTCCACTTGAGGCCTTGCGTTCTGAGCGGGTTCTTCGTCATCACTGGATGTTATTTCTCCTTCTTCCTTCTCACTTTCAATGGCTTTGTCTTCTAAGATTAAAGTGTTAGTAATTAGGACCATTGTTAATGGGTGAAAAATACCATGTGGTGTAACCCGGCCCCTAAAAAATATATTCCTCATTAGGTGACGAAGGCTTCTTTTACCCAACCCCCTTCAATATAAACCCGCATTGGCCCCTCAATATAGCAAACTTTTGTATCGCGATTCTTTTATCGCAAGGTAATTTTTAAGCCGATAACATGGGTTGCTCTCTCGATCAGTCAAACTTATAGGAAGATCGCGATACCTTATTTTAATTATTTATGCGTGAGAGGACTAAAATTTGAGGGTTTGAAGTTTGCAGCGCTATAGCAGGGCGTGGCTAACGTGCGTGTTAAGTCACTTCAGCATCAAGCAATATAAGATCATTGACTTTCTTTTCATTTAATACAGTAGCTCCTATAGAAACTCTTGTCAGGATGCTTCTTATTGCAAGTTTCTCCTCCATCCAAGATCTGGCTCCTGAAGCGAGAAAAAACCTCCTCCTTTTCTTTCAAAGAGTGATTCTCTTTTTTTGTATCCTAACTTTTTAATGAAACTAAAACTTCCACGATCTCTGGCTTGTCACGCTTTGCTGTCATGTCCAAAAACTAAAATTGTTGATCAGTATAAAGCACCCATACACCTATTTCAAAAAACGTTGTCATGGCCAAAGGTAATAGGCAATAGGCGATTGGCGAGAAGCAATAGGAGATAGGTCATTCTAAGATCTAAGAATAGCTGGAACGACTTGTGTTTCTGCTTTTTATTCTCGTCAAGAACATGGACCTTAGTGTTGAGACTGATTCAATGTTGTTTGCATTCAACGAATCCCTTTCCATGTCGGAATGACCTATCAGCTACCGCCTTTGGCGATGACAACGTTTTCTGAAATAGGTGTATAACAAATATTTTCTTGAACTAAATGCTCATCAACTCACCATCTGCTTTTTTCTTTTCATATTCACCTTCAGCTACTCCCTCTCTCTCCCTCGCTTCACTTTGTTGTGTATTCTTCTCTGTTCCTTCGATACCCTTATTCTTCCCATCCAGCTGACATCTACTATCCTGACGAGTGTCAGTCTTCTCTTTCTGTCTTGGTTCTCCT